CAAGCTACTCTTTATTACTGTCATTATTATTATTATTATTATTATTACCAGAATTCAGTCCCACAGGGGCACACATAACTATGGCCCAACTCCTCCAGTTCTCTCATCTACATATTTACCTATGCACCCTACCTAAATGTTGCAAGAGAGAATGGAAGGCAATTTTAATAAATATAGTAACAGCATGTTAGGAAACTAAAATGAAGCCAAAAATAGGAACAGAGCAAAGGGGACAGGGGACTCTTCCCCAATCCTAACCTCAGTCAGGATTATTTCTCCAGGTTGTGCACTCAGGGGTAAAGTCCAAACCTGGGAGGAGTAGCTGATGCTGGTCTGGTGCTGGGGCTGAGGACTGGGAAAGCAGACCGGCAAGTGGACAGCTCAAGCAGGTCCGGGCTATGACCAGATGTGGGTAGAAAGGGACCCAAAATCCAGGCGGGAACCTTATGCCCAGCCCCCAGCCGTGACAGCTGAGTGGGCTGAGAGTAGGAAGAAGCCACCCTGCAGCCATCCCCATAGCCCAGTGCATTTGCAGGCACACGTGGGCACACTGTAAATGTGTGTCCAACGGGAAAAGCCAAGGACAGTACAAAGAAATCAGTCATGAAAATCAAACCCAAAGAAGTAATTAGCCCAGAAATTCAGCCCAACCAAACATCCTTGCTCCTTCAATGAATCCTGTGATATTTAATAATGTGATTTCTACACAAGCTGAAGCCCTCCTTGTCTTTTCCTTCACTGTAGTTTTTGCCAAAGGGTGCCAATCAATAAGACTCTTTGGAAAATATTCTAGCATCTTTGTGATGACCAATAGCAGTTAGTGAGACAGGACTCCCCACCAAGGACACAAGTCCAGACTGACTTTTTGAATAGGAGAAACTGAATAAAACACCAAAACACTCTGTGGATAAACAGACGTGGATTCTTAGTAACTGAATCTGGTCACTTATTTTCCACAACTTGGTGGTGAGTCAGACCCATCCTGGGGTGCCAAAGCTAAAGAATGGTAGCAAAGAGTTTAAAACCTGGTTATAGCTTACTAATCAAGTAGGAAACTACTTCTGCTGAGCACTGGGCTATGTAGACACCAGAATCTGGAGACCAAAAAGTCTGTTTCTTCCTCCTTCCAAGACTCAGCCCCTTCAGCCCATCACCTTCTCATACCCCTCTGGATGTCTCAGCCTCTTTGCTATGTCCCACAGCTCCTTAGCCCGCCCTTCCTTTTTCTTTCCCTTTTATTTCTCATTCATCCAGGATGCGTGCTTTGTTCTTTTCATTTAGAATGTCACATAGTCAGTCTACAAATGGGTCATTTCCCCATTTTCTGCTCCTTTCCAAGAAATTGCATTCAATCCAATTGCTTGTACATCCTTTCAACCCTAGAAAGAAAATCTCTTACTGTGTCTTTGCTAAGTTCTTACCCATCTATTTTTTCTCTTTGCATAGTAAATTGTGTATTGGTTGTGGTAAGCAGAATAATGGTCCCTGCTGTGATTTGGGTGTGGCTTTGCCTATCTCCCAAGGGTTCATGTGTCAGAGTCTCAGTCTTAGTGTGGTGACATTGAGAGGTGGAGAGACCTTTACAATGTGGGGTCTCATGGGAGGCCCCTGTGTTACCAGGGGGCTCTGCACTTAGGAGGGATGAAGGGAGCTGTCCTGGGACCTCAAGTAGGTCCTCTCAAGATGGAGCTGAGCTCCTGACTTGATCTCTGGTTTTCTGCCTCAAGATGTGATCTCTCTTTTCCAGACGATGTTGGTTGTTGACCAGAAGGTCTTCTCTGAGCCAGGCAAATCTGAGCACCAGGCCTTTGAGCCTCCAGAAGTGTGACTTTAATAAGCTTTAGGTATTTTATTGTGGCCCCAGAAAGCAGAGTAATGCAGTTCCCTAAAGATATTTATGTTCAATTTCCCAGAACCTATGAATGGATTAGGTTGCATAGCAACAGGAAATTAAGGTTGCAGGTGGGATTAAGGTTGGCAATCAGTTGTCCCTACTGTAGGAAGATTATCTTGGATTAACAGGGTTAATCCAGTGTCATCACAAGAGTAAAAGGGGAAAGTGGAAGAAGAGGTGATGGCCATGGATTAGGGAGAGGACTCAGCCTAAGGTGGAAGGAGTGGTCCATACCAAGAAATGCAGGCAATCACTCAAAAGAGGAAAAGTAACACAATGGATTATTTCTAGCATTTCCAAGAAGGGTCACAGCCCTGTCAACATCTTGCTTTTAGCTCAGCAAGAGCAAACATCTAGTCTATAGAACTATAAAACTATAGACTTCTGTGGCTTGAAGCCACTAAACTTGTGTAATTTGTTACAAAAGCAGTAAGAAACTCATACATCAAACCCTCCTGGTGTTATGCTCTACAGCTCTTCTTTTTCTTGTATTCCATTGTTTTGGAATAGCTGAGTCGAAGTTGTCTTGGACTTTGTCCTCCACCTTTTCTACTCAGCTATTTCCTTTAGTTACTTTAACATTCAACTGTTGAACATTTTCTTTTTTCTTTCACTGCAGCAGTCTTTTCTTGTTTTATTAATACCATGTTGTTTCAAAGAACTCCAAGGCCAGAGATGGTTCCTGATGGATTTTTTTCTGCTGTATTTCCATGCTCCACATATGCATCATGACCTCTTTCTTTTGTGATGCTGGTGTCTGGGTGTTTCGTGGTGTCTGGGTAGTTCTCTGTGTTCCAGCATGGAAAACAGAGTTTATTCATCTTGCTGGCTAGAAGAGCCCCCAGGAGGCTTGGACTGCCCTCCTGTCATCTTTTTGCTCTGTCCCCAGAGTCTAACAATTGACTCCTCCTTCTCACATTCTCTAATACAGCTCAGAAGTGAGGGATTGGGGAGGTGAATAGTTCCTGCAGTCTGTGCCCTCAGGAATGGGATTAGTGCCCTTGTAAAGTGGGCCCAAGGGGGTCTGTTTGCTCTTACACCCTTCAAGAATTCAGCAAAAACTGCTTCCTGTGGAACACAGAGCAAGCCCTCACCAGACACCAACTCTGCTGGTGACTTGATTTGGAGCTTCCTGGAACTGCAAACAGTACATTTCCATTGTCTACAAACTGTCTGGTCCACACTGTTTTGCTATGGCAACTCGAATGAACTAAGACATTTGCCCAGTGGGAGGCTGTTACATGCAGTGACAGGGGAGGAAAAGGACGAGAGGAGCTGATCCCTCTCACTGGCCTTCATGTCCCCAGGGAGCATCAGTGGCTGGGATTTTGCAGAGCTTCATGGAGAAAATGGAATGCTGGTGTTGATGGTATCTTGGGAGCTTTGCTTCGAACAAGAGTATGGAGAAGCAAAAAAGCAACTTTCTTCATTGAGATTAAGACAGCGGAGGGATAAGAGGCCTGTCCTTCATGGAAGTGAGACACACAGGAGGTCCACAACCTTGGTGAGAGGAAAGGAAGACCTGGCAAATTTCCTCAATTATAGGACAGCAGCATATACCAAAGACTATGCCATCCTGCCAGCCCTGCTCCAGAGCCTGGCACAGAGTTGTTGTATATTGATGTATAAGAATCAATCATTCCAGTGTGAATTTAATCACTATTCAGTGTACAGACATAGTATTCATTAAACAGTGCACATTGGCACCACTTGTTAGATGTCTCCCTGGCTTAACAGCACCTTCCCTGTGGGGCTGCTACAAGGACGGAGTGGAGCCCAGAGCTTCTTCTACCTCAGCACGGGGCACTTACAGGAGCTCTATATTGGTGGTTCGGACTCATTTTGGTGATGTCCCAAGGAAAAACTTCCTAGATAAAGTTCCAGAGAGGGATCAAGACCCAAAAGAGACTGTTGTATTCAGGTGCCTGGGGAATTCACTTGCACACACAGACACACAGAGTTGTTCTAACAGATCTGCTTCTCTCATTTCCACCTGAGTGTTTGAGTCCAGGAAGTGGAGGCCTAGTAGTGCCCATCCTGTTGCAATT